ATTATCTAAGGTCTCTATTTTCCATTTTTTCTGATAAATCAAGACAGTAGGATATTTTTGTTGTTATATAGACTCCATAGTTGATCATTCTTCGCTCTATAGTCTGCATAAAATAAGCAGTGTGTGGTATCATGGAGTTGAAACCGTAGGTTTAGTTGTATTTTCTTATGCATTTTTTTCAAGTTATTTTATAAGATAAACTTTAGTTCCAATAGGTTTATATTATCACTTCCATATAGATATAATTATAGGTTCAGTGTTTTTATAAATACGTGATTTTTTTTTTTTTTTTTTTTTTTTTTTTTTTTTTTGAACGTTCGTCCGTTCGTTTCTTCTTCTTCCCCGATCCTTCGTTTGACTTGACCAATTTGCACATCTATGTCACACTCTCAACCTCCACCCACTCCCGCAATACTCACAAGTACACGGTCGTACATGTAATCATATACGTATGCTCACGTACACAAACACACGCACAAATGCATACACATGCACACAGACACAAACACACATGCACGCACACTCTTCCACTCAATGGCTCATCGACTCGAATTACCGATCAGACACGTATGTATACGGGCACGCACACGCACACGCACTCAACGCACGCACGCACGCACGCACACACACACACACATATATATCTGTATATATGAGTATATATATGTCTATATCTATGTTTATCTACGTATGCATATATATATATATATATATATATATATATATATATATATATATATATATATATACATAAATATATATATGCATATATATAAGTATATATATATATATATATATATATATATATATACAAGCGACGGCTCACATATTTCGCGAGTCGCGGCCCGCTTACACACGCAATTTCTTAGACGCTAACCACGAAAGCCCGAGAAGCCTTTATGAAATGCATAGTATAGGAAAAACGAGAAAAAGTGTTAAAAACTACATAACGACATTTTCAAAGGAAAAAAATAATATTTTACCATAATTGTAACAAAAGAAACTCATGACATGTCCGTACATACCCCCGGCATATGGTCCATGGACATCATGGCACATATGTACATGCCACCCGGCAGATTGGCCAGGCATGCCATGGCATGTACGTACATGCCACCCGGCGGCGATGGGTTAACAACTGATTTGAATATCAATATAGGGAAAATTTAATTAATTTTGCTTCAGAATGTGCTCTAAAATACCTCATCTTAAATTCTTTGATATTCATGTACAAATCTCTTTCTTCAGTGTTAATAAACTTGAAATAGGAATTGATAACAATATTTTTCCAATGCTGGCTTTATTTTTTCACCAAATTTAAACTAGGGTTTGAGATCTGCTAAAAATCTGAAATAAGGGGTGTAAAACAAACAAACAAACAAACAAACAAACAAACACACACACACTCACTCTCTTTCTCTCTCTCATTCTCATTCTCTCACCAAAACTATAAAATGGTGTGCCATCTTCAAATCCCTGACCCTGTTTTGCACTAGTTATTCAAAGTAGGGACGCGGAGCTCATGCTTGTCCATGAGATGCAACGTGATGCTGATACTGTGCTCTTCCTCACAAGAGTTCAGAATGTGCAGAAAAATTTCTGAAGGCAAAACTATCCCTCGGAAATTAATGAACTGTCATCAAGAGTTTAATGCAAATTCTCCATTGTGCGCTTACTATCCAAAAGGAAACTAAACAGACAAAAAAAAAGTCCCTCCCAACCCCTCTTCTTAATGATGTGGAGGAATTCCCACAACTGCAGAGGTTAACAGTGATGGCCCCTTCATGGCACCAGCCACAGGACCAGTACCAAAAGGAGAAAAAGAGCCATCAACTCAATCACCAATCCTAGCACCAGCTCCAGCACCAGCTCCAGCTCAGCTCTCACTACAGCAGATAAGCAGTAAAATGAAGGATCTGCTACAAATGCTGCTCAAGGAGATAGAGCAGATGATGTTCATGATTTAGTAACAGATGGTTCCACAATCACAGTTCCAAGAAAGAACATTTGTAAGTGATAATTGATGGTTCAAAATAACCTCTTGAAATGTATTACTTGGTACAATAACAGTTGCAGAAATGCAATACAACTCTCTCTCAGTATCTTCACTCTGTACATGTTGATGTGCATTGATTTCAGGAAGTCAAAAATGATGCTCGTTATACAAAAAATACAGAATACACACATGACAAACCTAATATTGCTAATCCTGGTGGAATACTATTAAACTAAAAGTGTTCAATAACAAACATGACAACACATATGCTGAATATCTTGGTGTTAAAATATTTCTTGCTGGTAAAACTATCACCATCTTTAATGTATACATCCCACATGATAGTGAAGTGTTACCTAAACTTCCTGACAGGACGATACATATTGATACTGTCTTACTGTGTAGGGATTTTAATGCTCAGTCATCCAAAAAGGTAAGGTTTATTATGACTCCAAAACACTAAAGACCTCATAACCTATCATGCCCCTTAGAAAAGACTCATTACCTAGGTGGCAAATTAGATTATATAACTCCATACAATCAGCACACACTCCCAAGCAGTGCAAAAGTCTTCCCATTGTTAGTCAGTGACCATTGGGCATTGAAAAAGAAGCCCACCCCAGCCATGCCTTCCATATCATCTTGCTACTAAACATCACAATGAGTTTATCAAAATGATTGGCTGCTGGTATGAAGACTTTACTCCTACCAGCCTTGATAATTTTAATGAAACTCTGTCAACAAGTTGGTAACATTATTAACCAACTCCACCCCAGAAACCCTGTCCAACATAGGTCTCATCCTCCAGAGGCAAAGGAGCATATCACCTAAACAAAGATCTTGAAATAAAGCTACTTAAACAGTTCATAAGGTCTACAATAAATCAGCTAAAGCACTTGGGAAGAAACCCCTACTTAGCTCGGGACCATGACCGACTATGTGAGCCTGGTTCTTATTATGTTGCCACAGAATGGTCTCAAACCCCTTGAATTATTCTTGGTTGCCCAATGACTGCAAAAGTTTTTGTCTTGAGAAAAGAACTAGACCTCTTTTCAATTCACAGTTGAATCACCCAGGTCAACACCATACTCAGCATCAGACTTCTGCTGCTTTAATCCAGACCATAAATTTCCTTCACTTTATCTAACGAGAGTAATTATCAAGTTAGGCACGCCCTGTGCCTTCAATACAATATCTGATACAGTCAAACCTAGAATGGAAGGTCAAAACTGTCCAGACTATTCTCTACTTTAATGTGTGGAACACTGATGCTATTAACATCCCAGAAGGAAAACTTACTGCACCATGGCACAGATCACGTGTATATGTTCATATTGACAAATTAACAAGGCCTAAATCCATGACTTAAATAACAGAATTAACCCACTGGATCCAGATACATACTCACACATGCACGCACGCACCCACACACATACACACACACACACAAATACAACTCTGTCTCTCTATCTACCTCTATCTACTTCTGCCTACCTGCCTGGCTATCCATCTATCCCAGTAATTAAATCACCAAAAATCCAGCTATTAGGCTAACATGAGTGGCCGTTCTGCCAGGTGGCTGCTTGTAGGCTGAGTGCACACTAACACTGTGCAGTGACAAGACTCTGTGCCTCCTATTTGCAAAGTTATTTACTCTTTTCATGCATAAGCATTTTTAGCCTTTTGGCCATTTTCTAATGTCCATATTTGCCATTTGATTTGCATTACCAAGATGGTAATATCCAATTGTCTGTAATACAATCCGTGTTGCTGCCCACGGCGCCAGGAATACGATGCTGAGCATGGAAATGACATCTTCTACGGGGCCAGTGCTCTTCCAGTCACTGCTCATGAACATTACATTCTACACTCATACATTGATGGGAATAATGCAAAATCACCAAATGAGTAAAATAAACCTCCCAATAGGTTAGTGCACTTGTGGCAAGTCTTTTCCATCACCCAGCCTACAGCCAGATTTTCCCATGGCAGCATGTTCATAGCACCGGCCCCTCAACCCAGATTTTTTCATGACATGATGGTAACATCACACAGTGACATTCACACACACACACATGAACACACACACATAAACACACATCTGTCTCTCTATCTACCTCTACCTACTTCTGCCTACCTATCCATCTATCTATCTCTGTTTCCCTTCTTCTCTCTCAAGTCACACCTTTATTTTATGTTTTCATTATTATTTTCTGTTTGTATATCTCTCTTTCTATCTTCTCATAACTCATGCTCCTTCCATCCTTATATGACTTCAAACTCCAGGTAAATTGAAGCAGTAACTTCACATCTTTACATGACCTCATGGCATAACTCAATGTTACGAGTAAAAAATAATAGTATTAAAAATAATCTCGGAACTATCCATGTACACAAAACAGATGTCCCCGAGGTCCATTACATTACATCTCATGGACGAGACACCCTGGCAGACAGGCGGGAATAACAGCGTCACACATATGAGACACCTGGTAATGAGCTATTTTCTGGGTGTCATACCCGTGTGACACCCGGCATGAGTGGGTTAAACAAATGAAAAAACTGTCTTCAAGATTATGAGGGCCAGGTATGGACCACTAAAAAACTGAAGAAAGATGGACATGGAACTATCTGGCATTATGAAAGTATTGCAGGGACATCTGATATGGAGAAACCAATAAAGTCTATAATGGACTGTCTCAGAAGGAACAGGTTACACTGACCAGGCTATGTACAGGATATAGTACACTATACATTATGTACAGGATACAGTTCTGGAGGCAAAGCCAGTCACATATTGCCCCAGCAAAATGTGCAAGGTGCCCAAATTGCATAAACTAACACATTATTTAATTTATTGCTCAAAAACTGCATCTTATTAATCAAATATAGACACTGGTCTTGTCTTTGATATGATTAGTGATATAATTTTTTTTTACAGACTAAATGAATATGTGAATAATTTAAGTACAATGGCACAGCCTTTCAGGCATGTATAATCAATGTTTGATTAACAGCCCTCTACACAAAAAGAAGCACAGCCAGTTTGGATAAATGCTATAGCATCTTACCTTGGCTTTTTGCAGGGCATATAAATTGTTCTGTAAATAAATTTTTATCAAATCAATCTCTCACTTGAAAAAAAGCAAAACTGACCTTTCAAACTCCTTTTCTGCTTCCTCTGCATTGAGGGCCTTGTACCTAGGGACAAGACTGAACTTATACCACTCTTCAACAGGGTAGGCTTCAAAGGCCCCATCTTTACCCTGCATAAACACATACCAGGAGGAGTTCTCTGAGACACCACCTTCTCTGATTCCTTTATATCTGCAAAGTAAAATCTTATATGAGGCAGGCAAAAGAATTCTTTTCCTTTATCACCAAAATTCTTACTATGTCTAAAATCAACACTTACTAAAACAACCAAACAAACAAACAAACTCTCTCTCTCTCTGAACATAATGGTTAATGGTTATAACAAACAAATGTGCTAGACATCAAATGTCATATACCACTATGGTAAAGTATTGTGGTGAAAAGGGGTAAAAATGAGTTAGCAATTACAATAAGTGGACAGAAGGGGATGAAGAAGAGAAAGAAAAGGAAGGGGGGAGAAGAAGAGACCATGCAAAATTAGTTGAGGCAAGGGCTGAGGGCCAAAGTAGGGGTGATCTCCAACATTGGGCCTAAGTCTCCTGTCTCCTAGGCTAATTTTTCAGCTTAATCTGTCATAAGTTATTACATCAAATAAAATATTACCTGGCTTTATAATTAATTTATAATTAAGATTAATATGTATATTTCAAAAGAAGTTAACTCATTGATACTAAGAATGCATATACCAGCATTCTTCATTGTTGTTTCTCTTTATTCATTCTCCTTATCCATTGACAGCTTCACAAGTGGCTGGTCACCAAGGAATTGGTTACTTACCTACTTGCCCCTTTCTTTGAATATTCAGGTTGAAAAAAAAAAATAATAAATAAATAAAATAAATAAATAAATAATAAATAAATAAATAATAAATAAATAAATAATAAATAAAACAGTTAAAATCTAATCTACTATTATCAACTTGTTGGCTAGTAACTGTCAATTGGGAATAAAAAATAAATACCTGAAACAAATCCATCTCTGGGTCTAACCAACTGTTAGAGATACTACATGTTGCCATGTTAATGCCTTTCAGCATTTTAGACAGCCTAGAACAGTGTTATTCACTAATTTTTTCAAGAGAGCCAAAAGTTCAGGGCATATTCAGATTGAGAGCCACATGCCTCATAAGCTACAAGGATTAGTATTAGCAGAACAAAATATATACAGAAACTAAATTACATATTTTTTACATATTTTTGATACTGGCAAAGTATGGGTCGCCGAGCACTGGATTTTACGTAACCTACACGTACAGTTCCTGTGCGGAAGGAGCGTCATATCTCTCTCTCTCTCTCTCTCTCTCTCTCTCTCTCTCTCTCTCTCTCTCTCTTCTCTCTCTCTCTCTCTCTCTCTCTCTCTCTCTCTCTCTCTCTCTCTCTCTCTCTGTTTTGCGAGCCGCCACTCAGGTCTTGGCGAGCCGCCACTGGCTCGCGAGCCACGCAATGAAGACCACTGGCCTAGAAGCATTGGGTTAGTAGCATTATAATAATAATAATGATGGTAATGATAAATAATAGTCCTGAAATAAAGCATTTTCTTTTGAAGATCCAAGGAATAGGTTAAACAGGCAAAATCAAGTAAACCTAGTAACTGACTCCTTTGTGACAAAGTTGTTGTGAAATCAGTTATGATACTAATGATATGCTTACTATGGATAGTGAAAAATAAATATATATGATAAAAAATATATAAAGAGATAATGCTGCAATATACTGTTAAAGATAAACAATTAAATAAATTCCATAAGCAACATTGATCATCTAAAAAGGAGAAAACTAACCTAAATAAAAATAAAAATAAGCATATAAATAAATAAAAAGGATATAATATCCCACAAAACCTTCCACTCCCTGAATCAACAAAATAATAAAAAATGCATCTTCAACACAAATCTGATGACAGAGCACCCACTTTTTCCCATTTTTACCACCAACATGAAGGATCCACGGCTGATCTTCAGGTCGGTATTTCTTCATGTGGATACCGTATTTCTTTCGCCTTGCCTCTTCCCTTTGGTCACGGCCGAACTCTGACCCGGCCCCATACCTGGGAGAGAACAAGTATTTAATTGCATGAATCTGTTCTTGAGAAGAAGTATACAATACAGAGGAGAATGAAGCATGCTTGCTATATCCTGATGACAATGTATCCTCTTGACTCTGACAAATAAAGACAGGTACAGAGCCTAAGGAGAATTAAATGGGACTGTGCTATCCTTGCCAGAGGACAGATTCTGATAGATACCTAGAAAATCATGTATTCTTGTAGATAGCCAACAGATAACCAAATGCTGATGGTACTTAATTAATATGTTCAGGAGATGAAAGTGAACATGATACATAAACAATAGAATGATAATTGGCAAAAGAATAGAAAACAAAGAAAATTGTAGGTCAGGTGAAACTGTAAATTGGCAAAACAATGCTTGTTAACAACTTCAGGGAGATGAAAAAAAAGTGAATTTCAAGGGGTTGAACCTTGAACATTCTATCTTACTTGGGCATCTCATCATCCAAGCTCTTGAACTCCTTCATGTTGTTCTCTCTCTCCATCTTGGTGTGATTCCATGTCTTGAAGTCAACCCCCAAGGCTGTGTGAAATCGCATCACATTGTACTTCTTTTTGAGTGACCTGTTGAGACATTTTTCCATTAGTGTATTGGTACTCTGAGTGCCTCTACTATTGTGCTCTAAAATTAATAAATGCTGATTCAGAAGCTTTATATAGACAAATTCTTTACCTTGAACTACATCTGTAGGTACTGTTTTTTTATATAATGTACAAAACAAACTTCAAAATATTAAACTTACTTTGGTACTCTTACTGTGTACTCCATCTCTGCAAACTAAAACAAATAAAGGCTTAAATTAGCTTCATTTCAATTGATTTAGATAAAAGTTTGACTAATTCATGCAAAAGATTGATTATGATGAAGAATGGTAAAAACGTTTGTTTGGCTTAAGTTGGGCTTAATGTTCAATTGGATTAATTAAAGTAAAAGTTTCATATGGATATCAAATCTATCAAAAGGTTCATTTGGATTAATAGAGGGAAAAAGGTCATTTAAGCAAAAAGGCTCAATTCGACTAATTGTGATAGAAAGTTTCGTCACGTTTAACTTTGGCAAATGGTTCATTTGAATGAGATCTACAGAGACCACAAATTAATTTTTTCAAGAATATTTAATATAAAAGCCATAAAGAGGACCAAAACAAATCGAAATCCCAGGGGTCATATAATTTCCACATCATAGCACTTCCCAATCCCTTAGTATAGGAAACTTACACCACCTAAAGAAATTGAATGATCATGTTCTGAATTTTTAGGACTCCTCAATGCTGCCATAAAATTATATAAAAACTTTATAATAAATAAAGAAACAAATATTGAAACAATAAAAATTGCAAAACAAATAATCTTCAGGACCTCAGAACCTAGTCTTTACCGTCACAGAAAAACTCAGGGATTATTAGTGATTAATTTTAACTTGTTCTCTTCCACTTCTTCCTCCCTTACTAAACCACCATTCCTTCTCTGGGTTTTCTCCTCCTTTGTTGCCTATCACCCTAGCACTTTTCCTATAAAGTTTTTTTCTGTATGGAGTTTGCAGATGCAATTGGTCCTATCCTGTCAGATATCTGCACAAGCACAATTAACATTCTCTCTCTATATATAATAATAATAACAATAATAATAATAATAATAATAATAATAATAATAATAATAATAATAACAATAATAATAACAATAATAATAACAATAATAATAACAATATTAATAATAATAATAATAATAATAATAATAATAAAGGAAGGAAGGAGGGAAGAGAGAAAAAAATAAAAAATAGCAGCAAAAGAGCAAGCCAATTATGAAGGTAGCACAGAAAGTTTACAGGTTGAATCCCAGGAATCACACAATATGAAGTATATTACATCATCAAATATACATCCATTTCAAAATGAAAACAAGTGTCTATGATTTCTAATAATATTGTCCTTAAAATCAAGTTTTTGTCCATGATTCAGCCAAAGCCTAAGACATGTCTGGAGGTATATCACATGAGTAAGAGCTATCTTCACCGGATGATGCTTTGTTTTGTAATTCAAGACACCAGGAAACACTTTTTCACATTGTAAGTTTTGCTCCAGATGCTGGGCATGAAATGTGGTGATGTCATGATCTGGGAACGTACTACTTGAAGAGTTAGTATTCTGATTCTTTGAACCCATTTTGCAGTTTGCATTCATGGTTTTAAATAGAATAACAAGTTTTGCTACTTTTTTTTTTGTCTAAGGTGGTTTTAATCTAAAATGTGAAAGTTCATAGCTTTAAAAAAAAACTTTCAGTACTTATGACAAAGCAAGTGCAGATAGTAATAGCTACACTGGTGAAATAGCTTTATTGCTTAGTACAATTGAATGAGACTTCCATCAATTAACAACTGGTTATTGAACCACTTAATGTAAATGCATAGAAAGGTGGCCATTTTGCTTGAAATACACACAAGATTTCTTTCTTTACTCAATACTGTTGTTATTAATGACATCAATGTTGACATAGAGTTATGCTGGTACTGAACAATTAAAAGTTAAACTGTCACAGACTGACATAACTTGGTCAAGTTAGGGAGAACAATTGTGTACCACATACCTAGTGGCTGCCTAGCTGCTTTACTGATTGATACACATATCCATGTTAGATTATGTTCAGTTCAGAAAGAGATAAATTGGCTAGTGGCTGCATGACAGGTTTAAATATACTATGATGTAATTTACCTATCAGATTAGTGTATTAAATATATAAAGGTGAGATGACCATCATGTCATGAAAAAATCTGGCTTGAAGGGCAGTTGACATGAACATGCTGTCATGGGTAATTCTGGCTATAGGCCAGAGTGATATGAACCTGCTGTCGTGAGCTGTAGGCTGGGTTGATGGGAATTACTCGCCACGAGTGTACAAAACTCTTGCAGGGTGATTAGACTCATTTGGTGTTTATGAAGGGGCTTTTCATTGATGAATGAGTGTGGAATGTGTCATCTGTGAGTCATGATTGGCAGAGTGCTGGTTCCAGGGAGAAAGATATTTCCATGCTCAGGATAATATTCTTGACTGCCGTGACTGGTAGTGCAGGTTGTCTTACCAAAAAAAATTAATATTATATATATATATTTTTTTTTAATGACACAAATTACAGAATGTGGTAAATCTATATGATAAGCTAAGGCAAATGAAGATGATATTCTTCTAGAAGGCAAAAAGTTGCAGTCATCAGTACAATAAATAAAATTCAGACAAGAACAGTAACATCACAAATAATGGAAGATCACTGAATGTACTGCTCACAGCCTAAGTCATGGATGTCAAACATGTGGCCTATGGTACATTAGCTATTTTTTACAGTAGCCATTTTACATGATTAATAAGCTAGTCCTTCATCTTTTAAAATTATTACTTACACTCTTACAGTGAATAGAATAGCCTCCTACACTTTTATATCAACTATTTTGCCCTTTTGTATTGAATCATAATTATCTGGCCTGCATACTGTGTACTAAGGAGAAATGTAACTCTCTGGGGTAAACAAGTTGACAACCCTGGCCTACATTTACTCAGTGCTCCCAAGTTTCAGCTCTATCTTGCTGTGCATACCAAGGTGAAGACTGTTAACCCCTTGATGATGGGTGGAGAGGGAGAGGGAGAGGGAGAGGGAGAGGGAGAGGGAGAGGGAGAGGGAGAGAAATGAAAGAAAGAAAGAAAAATGAAAGAAAGAAAGAAAAAAAGAAAGAAAAGAAGGAAGAAAGAAAGAAAGAAAGAAAGAAAGAAAGAAAAAAAAGAAAAGAAAAGAAAAGAAAAGAAAAGAAAAAAAAAAAAACACTGTTGCCATTAGATATCAATGGCAACGCGCCAACTATGAGTGTGGGAGTTCAGTAAATCAAGCCGAATCATTGGCTCATAGTGCTTTGGCGCACTGCCGCTGCATACAGCCACTGCATACAGCCACTGCATACAGCCACACACCACAGACTGAGCGGTTTGTTTTGACGCCTCATGGCGTGACCAGTCGGGAAGGGGTTAAATAAAGTTTGTGCCGTGAGGTTGGGGACCTTTGGCAACTGTACATGTACTGTAAAGAATTGCCAAGAATGATACTTATTGATATTATTGCACTCAGTTAGGGACTAACTAGAGAGATTATATGGAGTCTGTGTATGGAAAACTGTTGATTACCATCTAGATGCAGCAAATCAAATGACAAATATAGACACTGGAAAACAGGAAAAAGCTAAAACTGCTTATGCAGAAAAATTGCAAGGTGGAGACGCTGAGTCTTGTCACCACACATGAACATTCATGTGTGCCCTGCCTACAAGCCACACTTCAGAGTGGCCACTCAAGTAAGCCTAATGTCCATAACTTGGGTGACATGACAGCAGTGAAGCATCCATATCCAATCAGTTAAAGGACATCCATCCTGGCCATACTTTACACAGAAATTCACTTGATGCCATTGGGTTGCAATGTCCTTATGAGAAATTAGCTACAATAATGCAATGTTACATACACTGAAGATACTGAAATGTTCTATTCCTGACATAGAAATGGCCCTTTGCACCTTCAGTCATGTTTACATGTAAGATATCAAGTGTAATAATTTCATAATTTAAGTGGAAAGCATATCTTATTCTAAGTGGCAGCAAATTTTGAAATGAGGAAGCAGTGCAAGCTACTAATAAAATCACTAAGGACACTCTTTGACTAAGACATACACAATTTCTAAGTCACTTATAGTCAAAGACTGTCTTTAAGGACAGCTCTTAACTCTGTGGATGGAGTAATAGGGACTTAATCTGAGAGGGATGCAGTCATTTCCTGAACGACTAACAATACTGTCATCTGTATCATTTGTTATGGAAATTTACAAGATTCACACACATCATAACGTGAATAACTGAAATAAGGAATAATAATTGCAAGATGGTTGGCTGTGCGAAACTAAAATATTATGGTTAATGTTACTGAGAGTGAGGCACGGAGACAGAGGGAAGCGGACACTGCCATCTTATAGAGCATGAGAAATAGAGTCATAAACAACACAGGTACAGCTGGTGCGGCCTCATATTTACTACTAAATAATGAAAATATTCACTGCATATCACCACTCAGAGACTTAAGCTCACATCCTAACAGCCCAAATTCTTCACGTTGCATTTTCTGTAAGTTGGCAGGAAGTGCTACTAAAGGAGGTTGTAGGGGGGGGGGGTTGTCTCCTGCCAAGGGAATATATAGAAGGTAGGAATGGTTAGGTTTGGATTTTGCGTTTGAATGATACCCTGGTCTTGGGACTTATTCTCTTGAGGGTGCTTCGGTAAAAAAATAACAAAATTACCTAAAGCTCTGTGACTTTTCGTAAACACCGGCTCTCTAAGTCATAAAGTAAAAATAAACACTTGACCAAGACAAGGGGAAATATTAGTTCGAAAAATTGCACCACCTTTCTCTTTCCTTTCGTTTGTTTGCTTGTTTGTTTTTCCTTTATCACTTTATAGCTGCTTTTCACCACTGCACTGATGAATTCGACTATCGAGAAAATATTATGAATATTATTAATTCTCTGTAAATCTATAAAACACAGACAGGTTGTGTACACGTAAGTGCGAGATTCATGTCTTTAGTTTGTTTCTGGGAATATTTACACTTCAAATTATAAAATAAATCCTTAACATGCATAACATTCAACACATGTATAGTGTATTCGCTGCAAAAAACTGGAAGTAGATGATACTTCTCGTTAAAATTGCAAAAATACGCTCGCCTTACCAGAGTCGCGAAGAGGATGCTTTACAATGGGCGATCTCTCCTGACCTGCCATTATAAACACGGCTTGAGTTATGGATATTGAGTCCTTGTATTTGTTAATACTGTAATGAATATCCGTTTTATGTGCAGAATGAGATACGTATGTTAATTCTGGATGGCGATAATTTAATCAGATATACATGAAATCTAAGCAAATGTATTGGTTATATGTACTGATTCCTTCGTAACAAGTAATCTCTATTACACAACCTGGGAATCCTTTACGTCGCAATCCGCATAATTCAAAAGTCATTGCAATATTGAAAAAAAACGAATTACTGCTTGAAAATAGTTCGAGATTGTGGAATGTTGAATTATTATGTATAATAAATGCTTTCCAACTTGTTTGTCAGGGGTTACCAAAGTGTAATGCATGTAATATCCTCTCTCCTATCTCTCTCTTGATAAATATCTCTTATGTAGTGATACTACTACTAATACTATTAACAATATTGCTATGATCTCTTGGTAATTAACGAGATTAGTAGTCTCCAGTGCTATACTTTAAATGCGTGTCTCATTCTTCCCCGAGATCCGAGCACGGCATCAAATTGCTGAGTGCTACTTAAACCAGATTGAGCCGGTGCCCGTTCGCTCCCCATCTCACTCGCGCATCGCCTGGATCATGAAATCTTATGCATTGTCTCATGCATCTATTTTTGGATCTCATTCATTTTGGGTCGCTTATTGGACTAGCTTGACTTGTTGCAACGTGGTTGTGTGTATACGAACGTCTTTCTCTCTCTTTCTATATGTGAATATATATGTATATATATATATATATATATATATATATATATATATATATATATATATATATGTATATATATATATATATATATATATATATATATATATATATATACATACACACACACACACACACACACACACACACACACATATATATGTATATATGTGTGTGTGTGTGTGTGTGTGTGAATAAGATAAACGTGTCGCGATGGTTCCTGGTTCAAATCTCCGCCGGGGCAGTTGAAAAATGCCTGCATTCTGACAGCTGGAAGTAGCACGAACACGATATCACGGTGAGAAAACCACACATTGCTTAGAGAGTTCAAAGACAGGTTTCGCAAGTGAAGTCACCGACGTGGGTCAAGATGAAGCTGGACCGCGGTTGATAAGGAAGGGCATTCAATCAGGCAAGGGTGGCATCACCAAACAACCTCTCAATAACAGATCCGAGAGAGGCCTAAGTCCCGCAGTGGAGTGATAGACTGTGTAGTATATAAGTGTGTGTGTGTGTGTGTGTGTGTGTGTGTGAATATAAATATATACATATATATATATATATATATATATATATATATATATATATATATATATATATAATATTATGTATGAATATATATCATATTGTACGTATAAACATAATATAGTGATAGACTGTGTAATATATAAATGTGTGTGTGTGCATATAAATATATATATGTATATATATATATATATATATATATATATATATATATATATATATATATATATACATGATAACACATATATGTATATATACATATACATGTATATTTACATATATCTATGTACATATACATATATATTATATATATCTATATACATATACATGTATATTATATATATATATTCATATGTATAAATCTGTACATACTCATATATACATATATTCATATATATACGTATGTATATATATATATGCATGTATGTACATATATACATATATATACGTATGTATATATATATATATATATATATATATATATATATATATATATATATATATATATATATGCATGTATGTACATATATTCATACATATATATGTATGTATGTATGTAATCACTCCCATATATATATATATATATATATATATATATATATATATATATATATATTGATTGATTGATTGATTTATATATATACTCGTACTGGCGTTATTGCCATCACTGGTAACAATAATAATGAGTAGTAGGTATAGTAGCAACAGGAATAAAACAATATAAAAAATAATATATTACTGGAATTGTATATAATAACAATAGTGGTAACAACAATAACAATTGTAACAAAAAATCTAGCAATAATAATTCTATATTGATCATATGGATAATACTTTCAAGTAAACCCTTTTAGTGACCCCGAGGAGAAAGCCTTCTTGTGTGAGTCAAGTAATACGTAGCATAAATCTTTGTAACAACCCATAAATAACCTTAAACAACCCCTTTAAAATGACCCCTTTAGACACTTATCAGAAAACCTCCTAATAAACCCGAATATAAAACCTTTCAGTGATCTCAAGCATACATTTTTTTAGTAACACCGTTAATGATTCTAAATATAAAACCAATCAACGCTTTACATTCATACCATTCGAATCATATATCACAGCCTGAAATTAAAATGTCTGTAGTAAAGTTCGCATGATAAGAATCTGCATACCAGTGTTTTGATTTGGGAATACCCTAAGTCAAATAACAGTGATTTTGTGTGTTAGTTAAACTAGAATTCTGCTTATTGCCATGGTTATCTTTGATATTACTGCCGGTATCAAAGTCTAGAAGAAAATTAGATTAATATGATTGTAAACAACAACAGAAATCTCCAGTAAACGGCACGTGATGCGCAGGTAGCTCTGAGATGAGATTTTTTTTTCTCTATCTCACTACCCACACATCTGTTTCTAGCCACGCACGCACACACACTTAAATATGCATGAGTGTGTATGTGTATGACATCCATCAAATAATATCCATATATTCATACCATATTTTATTTTAGATCCATTCAATAACCACTTATCATTTAGCTTATTATTGTCTCCTATGAAATTCTGTTTACCAAAAATATATCATGTTAAACAGGTACATTGACTTCCAAACTTGCTAACTCCATTTTGTCACACATAGTAATACCAAAACAGCTGATTATGGCGTTGTAAAAGAAATAAGAAACTACAAATTATTATGTAAGAAAAAACACTAAAATACAACGGTTGTGAGAAATTTTCTTAACCCACAAGCCTATGTAGCATATTGAATCAAGCTTCCCATGATAAAACTCGAATTATGGTGGCAGTAGTGGGATGAAAAAAGCTTGGAAGATATAAGGCTAAGTGAAAACATAATCAATGTGTACTAAATAAACATATGATTATTATTGGGTAAGTACAGGTACAGTATATAGAAAACACGCTTGCGGCTAAAGTGATCACAAGATATTTGTTGGGGATTTTGGGATTAACAATATTATTTCGATATTTTCATGTGAACTTGAATATCACATGCAGTAGGTACTCATGATAGTAAATATAAATTTAGGAGTAAAAAAAGAAAAAAAAAAAACTAAGAATCCATATATATACATACATATTATGAGGATATTACTCAACTATACAAGCAACCTCCTATTTCTACAGAATAGTCATTACCAATCATTTACCAGTTAAGATCATTCTAAGATGCTAGATCATTCGAATGCAATTGACAACAGACAGATAATGAACGATTTCGACGAAGTTTGTTTCCTGTACTTATTTTGAATTTCATATAACCAAGAAAATGAGTCAAGGAAAGTGTCCAAGAGAGAAAAACGAGATTGTCCCTCATCACCAAGGTCGTGGTTTGTTTACATTCTCCAAGGCAAGCGCAGGGCAGCAAGTAGACATTTTCTTTTATTGAGTTTATTAGTAGTATTGGTATTATTATTATTATTATTATTATTATCATTATCATTATTATTTCTATTCCAGTTTTGTTGTTGTTACTGCTGCTATCATCATAAATATTGTTAATATTACTATTATCATCATTATTATTATTATTGTCATTACTATTCTATCAATATTGTTGTTTTTATCATTACTACTACCAGGATTATTACCATTATTATCGCTATATTACTTTAATTATTATCATCATTATTGTTGTGATAATTATCTATCATTACCATCTTTATCACTATCATTATTTTAGTTATCAGTATGCTCACCCTTGGTCTTATCATCATTATTATAATTTTCTTTGTCTTTCTTTATTAATCATTGCTGTATAACCATCGTCATCATTCTTGTTATCATTATAATCATCATCATTACTATAATTACTATTATTATTATCATTATCATTACTATCATTATAATTATCATTATTATCATTATTATTATGACTCATTATCCTTATCATAATGAAGGACCAAATAACATATACTTTGTCGAGTGCATTCATATGCAGTACATTCTTTATAACTTATGGTCTCAATTTCATAATTAAAGGGAAACATATCCAAGTCATTTAAGACTTTCGAGACATACTTAGTTCTAATATCGTTTTTATTTCCATTCGTTTCTAGAAAAAAAACTTGTGTTTGTATATCCAGGTATAGCCCTTATCAGAGTAACTGTAAGTTAAATTGTTATTGTGCTACTAAGTTCATTTATAACAAGAATTATGTACCACCACGTAATCAATTTAGACTGCTGTTAAAGGGCCAATGAATTCACGAGTTATTGTTTATTTTTGTTTACCCGTATAGGTCTAATTCTAAATACACTACATGGTGTGTATTGTGTGTTTACATAACCCTATGGCCTGTGCGTTGTGCTGATACAATAAACTTATGAGCTTATACTGTCTGTAAGCGTAGTGCTATGGGTGTTAATGGATTTATAACTGCGGTTATATATAATGCGGTATGATATGTGTGCTTATGAGTGTATATATGAGGGTATATATCATATCTATATATGATACTAATGATGAATGGCAAAACACAACCGTGCTGGTTCTATTGTAGAGAAAGCCCACACTACGTAGACTAAGTAAATTTACAAGACCTGGAATTGAAATCCAGTAGGTTTTCATACCTGTTGTCTCACCTTTCAGTAAACCTATTTCGTGTATTTTTTTCTACCAATAGGTGTAATGTGTAAGTGTATACTATATCTGTACGTATTCCAATAGGTCTATATGGCCCTGCCTCATGCTTAAACAATTTATCATGGGTGTTTATACCTGAATATCATTCTCTGGATGCATAGAATCCCTACACATATTCCTGTTCCTGT